TTAATTTTGATCGCTTTAATGCGCTATACTGGCGTATGTAGCGAAACTACACTGAATTTGAAAATTTTTTTATCCTACAGAAGGCGGCCAGAGAGGTGAGCCAACTGAGGCAGAACTTGCACATGTCCCAGCTGGAGCTAGCGAAAAAGATCGGTGTAAGTCAGGCAACTATCAGCAAAATGGAAATGGGAAAGGACATCAATTTGAGCACCTTACAGCAAGCTTTGAAAGCGCTGGGAAAGACAATTAACATTTGTTGATCTGGTTGTGGTCAGGTGTTCGCACCATATGAAAATAACTAGGGTTGTGCAACGATTTCTACATTGTAAATTATTGTTTTGAAAGGCATCGAAGTTATTAAGCGCGCTGTGTTTCTGTCTGATGAAATTGTTATCGACAATTATGGGTTAGTGACAAATCTATGATCGGTCTGCATTTTTTTTTTCGAGATCAAAAATTCAATAGCGTGATAACAATATCAAGATCTAGTTACGGTTAAACAAAACAAAATTCTCAACGGTCCCGATTACTGAAGCGGCATTACCACGTTGAATTGCTAAAGAGATGTTCTGTTTCAAAAACTCAAGACTACGAATCTCGCCGGTTTGTTGCGAAATCCTCTTCCCAATTTCGTAAACAAATCGTTTGGCAGATGTACCAAAACTACCGAAAGTCTCGAAGCCGACAGCCGTAAATTCATATCGCCCCAACAGAAAAGTGTACTTTTTTGCTTTCTCAGCTTCAGCATGGTCTGCTGCCGCTCCGGCCTTTACACTGGTCTGATCTAAATACGAGCTGGCGACAGTATCAACACAAGTAACATCCCATGCCAAACACAGTCCTCTTGTCCATGGGAAAGTAGTGATGCCATCGGGACGTGTTTCGTTTTCATGATGCATTGAGGCTAATATCTTGGGAGTGGTACGTACTTACGATCCTCGGCTCTCCACTGTTTTATTAGAAAAAGTACAATACCGTTTGCGGACTTTTCAAAGAATGTGGAAAACAGCTCATTAAGTGAGTGAATTGATTACATTTCCAGTGATACGTCGAGTTATATGTGGTCACAACAAGAACTGCTGCACAACACATTCAACAAGACGCAACCAGCTTTTCTCAAACCGTTAAACCTTTGCAAGCGTTTATACAGCGTCTACGGACTGCATTGTTTTACTCTCGCAGTCTCGCTAATACCAGTGAAAATTTAGTGCGCGACGCGCATGAATGTTTTAATAGCAGTAGGCAGTACGCATTACATATTCTAGTATTAAAAAGTACGCTACTATACGAGCGCAACACAACGTTCTCTGCTGAATTCGTGGTTAATACTTGCAAACATGAAGATTTACTATGTGTAGTTTTTCTGGCATGCGCTATGCTATTAATGGTAAGTCTTGCAAAATAACGTGCCAGTTTTAAGAAAAGCCTTTTTTGTGTGATTTTCTACGTAAGCGTAGACATAGCACCAAACCAGCACAATAATTTTGCTCAAATGTATTGATTGTTCTTTTCCATTCTTAGTTTTGATATGCCGACGCAAAAAGCAAAAACTGCAAAAGCTCTGGAGTAAGCCGCAAGTTTTCCTTTGTAATGTCAATCGTAGTGCATGTCTCGTTCAGTTTGGCAATTTTTCGTTGGATGACTAACGCAAGATGCAAGAAGCTTTAAATTTTACTTTGTGAACCTTTAAATGCGCGCCGATTACCAATGAACATGCTACGCTATACAAAGTTAATAATCGACGTTGTCGCTTTTGGAAGAAACCATTGTAATTGGGTAATATGGTTTACAGGATGCCGCAAAAGATCTAGCGAAGCTGCGTGAAGGACAGCATTTAAGCCAGGCCGAACTGGCCAAAAAGCTGGGAATCAACGAGACCATCGTCCGGAAGCTGGAGAGCGGACGACCGACCGCCGACAGCGACCATCTTTTCCCCCGGGCCTTCAAAGCGCTCGGACAAACGATAACGATCTGTTGATGTCGAGTTTATTGTAGTTCAAGACAGGATGCTTAATGGGAAAATTGCTCGGAAAAGTTTCTCGTGAACATTTACCCCCGACACTGTTTGATTAACCTGCCGTTGACCGGTAGTTTTAGCGGTGCTATTTGTGCTAAAAGCCGGAATTTTAGGTTTGTGAACTATGGTCGCGCTTTACTTCAGAGCAATTTTTGATTCTGTGTCATATCTCATTCATGGGTTTGCATACGATGTCCTGCAAACTTGAAAGAAGATTTCAAAACCCCTGATGTGTAGTGTTCTCGCTGCACAGTAAAGATTTCCGCTGTGTTGAAGGCTTTATTTACTTTAAGGTAGTACAATAAACTTTATCGCTGCAACTGAATTCTTATTATAGTTTGAACATCGCAGGATGTTAATGTTTGCCGGTTAAAATTAAACATGTTCGTGTTGGAATGTTTCATTGTTTAGTACGTAATAAGGCCAAAAGCTTCAGCTGTTAGGCAGACGTACAGACTACGCGCTGTTGTTACTGTACTTAGTAGCTGCATCACGAGTCGTGGTATTTACTGAAGAATGATATTTCTTCCGTATTCGCACCTTACCATGGTAAACAGTGTGTTGCGTAGATCACTGACTGGTGACTGCGGTAATAAGCGACGTAATTTTGACCAGTCTGGTTTTTGGTAACAACACTGGTTTTAGTTGGCCAGAATGATCAGATCATACCGAAACGGAAATATTAAGCATCGACAAATCCATTGCCGGTTTTATTTACATTTACTGCAGGCTCAAGACTGTTAGTTACCTAAGATTTGGTACAATGAAGGGGAATCGTAGGATCAACCGTTTTATCGTCACCGCGATATTAACAACGGCTTTTATGGTAAGTGTCAGTGAGTTTATTTTGTCAGCACATGCTCTGCAAGCATATTTACAAATGTGCCAGTGCTGCGCAAATTTTTTAATTACCAGTGTTTTCTAGTTTTCGCCTACCCACGCCGCCTTCATAAAGGTCAACGGAGATCATCCGGTAAAGGCATCCGTGATAAGTTTTCCCACAAACTTCTCTGACTGAAGCCTAAAACAAAAAATCTTTATTAGGCTCCAGCTTGTCTTCCGTGACGTTCTCTCAGTTCTGACCTTTTATTATTGCAGGATTCTAGGAAGCCTGCTCAGCGAAGATCACCCGGTCCCACACAAGAAGAGATGATGAAGTTGCACAACGGAAAGCCCATGACGCAGGAGCAAATGGCAAATTCCTTGCATCGCACTGTTGGAGACCTACGGAAGAAGTTGGAAAACAATTTCAACTTTGCCGGTAGAGAGCAGTTCTTGGGTAGATTAAGGGCATTGGAAAGTTGAACTAATTGATCAGAAGAAACTGTGCGTATCGTTGTCATGCTGATCATCCATGACATGTACTTACTTTCGTGGTGCGAAGGTCTCCCAAGAAAAACCCGATTTCGAGCATTCTTTTGATTGGCGTTCGTAAATAATTTTATGTTGTGCGCACACAACATTGGCGCTCTCAAGCCGTTCATGGTCGTACTGAAAACTGGACACTTGACTTGTGAATTCGAAACAAACAATGTCTCCTACATGCCAGTTACTCGTGTTAATAAAATAAATAAATTACTAACGTACTAGACAGTCTATATATGACGATACCTACCCTTGGTAGTACTTTCTTCGCCTCAGTCTCGCTCCGGTCTGTCCGTGACAACCCAAGTGGTCTGACGCTACTGATATGACACAATGATCTCTGGGCCAAATCTCTGGGTCATGGTCCGCGTAATCGACGTAAAAAAGCATTGTACACCTAAATTTTCCGAGGAGTAAGGCCTGAAAACCTTAAAGCGAAAAACTGGTACGGTTACCGGCAAGCATATAGACGAAATCTGAATTGATGGGTGCGGCACTCAACGCGCACGGCGCACCTACTCGTAGTGTCTTCCGGTTTCAGTGCGCGGATATTTGTAATCTGTATGTACTTTGATTTTTTCTGAATCTGGCGCCTAATATCAATAAATCTAGATAAAAAATATTGAAAAAATCAAAAACTAGAAAATATTGAAAAAGTCAAAAACAGATATATGGAAAAAAAATTGAAATAGCTTGATTAAAAATCTCGTTCTAAGAACCAGTAATGAAAAAATATCTTCGCGAAATTTTCAATACGTAATTTTCAAAGCATTTCAATACGTATTAAAAACAGGTAAAACTCAGCACGTACCTAGAAGGCCAACTTCCACCAACTGAGGCAGGTTTGACGGAGACGCTTAATATTTGTTCGTGCGCGGGTGAAAGTAATCAGCATGCAATGGCATCCGAAAGAGTACTGTCGAATACGGCAGTTACAAAAGCATTACAAACTGCATTAACGCTACATCGCTCAAGTTCAGGATAGGTGCGTCCTGCTGTTTGACTAGAACACCGGAAGAAGTCACGTTATTCGCGTGCCGCCTTTGAAGTGCGCATTATAAAAACCCGTTCAAGCGTTCGAAGATACGCTAGCGTCTGAATCTAGAGTTGCTGACGGCCTAATGCCATGATATGTCGTTGCCGGTTTGTTGTATGCGTTTGTGTCAAGCGAAAAAGCAGATCCTTGGCGAGATTTGAGAGTATCAAGTCATTTTTAACATCGAAATCTGTCACGCAGCAGCCTCGTTTTTAAGAAGTACTAATTTGAAAACACTTTTGCTCTGCTCGCGACTTTCATTAATAAGCTAATAATAAGCTTTAATTTTATTAATAAAAGTCGCGAGCATAGCATTCATTTGCATTCAGTATTCACCTTTTCCAATGCCGCAGAGTGATGGTGACGGTGACGCAGACATTGACTTGCTACTGAACACAAAAATGCCGAGTTCAGCTCCGCCTTAGGGCAGGTTACGAGTACGCGCTGACTAAGCTTTGCACCTGCGTTACGCCACTTCAGTGAAGAGTCACGAGTGACGACCGTTCAAACTAATTTTAAAATAATCGTGTTTTTATGATCGTGGGGTCTATGTACCACTATGCGCTGAGTTACCTGATTTTATTGAATGCTTTTGAGAATTTTTAGCGTTCGGCATTATTCTGTCTCGTGAAATGGCCGGAGAAGCATTACCGATAACTCCAGCTTGCTTGCATTCAACCGCGTGGCTCTTTGAGGTCTCCATCGAGCAGTTCAAGAAAACGTACCAGCCATATACGACGACGTACACTGCTACGGTGAAACTCGACACAGAGCATGTTCAAAAATATTTTGGAATTCCGGCATCGCTTTGGAAAGTGTCCGTCATGACTACTCAAAGTTCAAGCGTTGCAACCTACCAGATTGGCTTGAGTTGTGCGAAGCAGGGGCTTACCAGCAAGGAATCTTTGCGCGTGGAATGCTCCATCAGCGGATCAGGGTTCGTTTCTGTAATTAGTGCTGAAAATGTATTGTACATGAAATAATTAGTGCAATGTAATTCCGAAACTGAGGAAACTGATGTAGGTCAGCAGCTCGGTCGTGGCTGTGCTGTGACTATGCATTGTCCGTACGGTGTTATAAATACGTTATGGCTTTATGGTCCGCGGTTCGTTAACTAGTTTGCAACACGCCATTTTGATTGTGTGGGGCAAGTTCAAAAAATTCTTCCCTATTATTCCCGCTTTAAATATTTAGTCGCAATAACCGTTTCAATTCGATAACAATTATTTAGTTTACACTTCGGAGATCCACTGGATTTGGTCATCGGTCCGGAAGGATGGGCATGTCATGATTTGTCGGCTCGAACATTGTCGTTTCCGCTGCCTCTGGTGAATACCTATGACTATAACAACCGGCAGTATCACTATACAATCGCCCCGGGTAGCACGGTTTACGTGAGATTGGCATTCTACGCCACCGAGTCCGACGGAAGCTCACTGGGTTCCTGTCGAGATAACCTGGTGGAGAAGTTGGGCACGCTTCTCGAAAGTGGACGAACCAATGACTGTACACTGGTTTCGCGTGATGGCAAACACTTTGCCGTGCATCGTGCTGTTCTGGTAGCGCAGTCGCCGGTGTTCGCTGCCATGTTCAAGCACGATATGAAAGAGAAATCCTCGGGAAAGTGTTTCATCAAAGATATCAGCGGAATGGTGTTGGGGGCGCTCATTAAGTTTGCCTACACGTGCGCTCCACTCACGTTACCGGCTGCGAAGTTGCCGGATTTGTATGATGCAGCGGACAAATACGACATGGCGGATCTTCGGGTACACTGCGAAAACGTGATGATAGGCGCAATCGACGTGAATATCGCCCTGCGTTACGTCAATTTCGCCAAGGAACGCGGTTTGAAGAAATTGAAGAAACAGGCTATCAAGTTCCTGTACGAGCATAGCGACGAAATTTGAGCGCTTCATAAATAATAGAATAACTGCATAGTGCATACAGTCTGAATGTATGCTCTGATTCTGATTGGATGGACGCTTGTAAGCTTTTATTGCGTGTGGCGATTTTTTGTCTTTACTGACTTTATGGGGAAGTGGACTTAAACTTCCTTTGGTTATCAAACTATTACGTTGTACTTTAGACATTTGTTGATGACTGGCATTGCTTGTGTTCATTAGACTTTTTATGACTAGTATGCAAAGTATTAAAAGCTCATTTTCAGGAGCTATCATCAATCATGACATTTTATTCGCCATTCAGATTGCAATTGCAAGGGAAAACAAGTGAATAAAGATACATATCAACTAAATGCTTACTTATCAAGGGCAGCAACGTGGCCGTCGGCATCGAATGTCGATGCGAGACAGCAGCGCCGAAATTTAAATTCACGGCATTTACCGTAATTTTCATTCCGACATACCGTAGCAGTATCTTATCAAGGTTTAAGATGTGCCGCATTTCATACCGACAGATGCCAACTCTTTCACGTATCTCAATCTTCTAAAAGAAGTGCATGGCAGCGTAAAACTCAGTACTGGTTCGTCCCGCATTTCAACGACTAATGTTCCAGTTGACAGATCGCCGTGGATAGAAGAATAAGATCTGTTATTCTTGCGATGTGATAGTTGTATTTCTACGATGTTATCAACGGTTTGGAAGGGTGGACCTATCAGTCGGAAGCTGAAGGGACTAACACTTTGGTGACCCCTGTGGACCAGGAGTATCATCATCAATACCGCTCCATCTATTTCGTAATCCGTTCCGGAAAAATACTTCGCGTGAGATTTTGTTCTACGACAGTAATCCTGACGAAGGATATCTTGGCCAGTGGTGGAATCGTCTAACAATCTAGCAGACAAATTTGGAAGTCTTACTGGATAGCGGGCGAGTGGCTAACTGCAACTTGTCTCACGGGATAGTACACTAAGTATATCGCAGTAAATACGTGACAATCAGTGTTGCGGAACAACTAAAACAAACGCCCACATAACTTCATTGATTGTATTTAGCTTTCTGTTCGTTCCCACTTCCATAGCCTTGATTCGCTGCTGGATGCGACCCGGTCCAATATCAGCATTTCACCTTTCTCTCAAGTCTCAGCTCTAACAAAGAAGAAAACAAACAACAACGATTTTTAACATTCAAAACTGAACTGTTTTTGGTATCCGCGATGCTCTGCTTTTTTATTCACGGTTTCTAACCAATAAAGAGGACAATAATAATGTTAGAAATGCGTCGTCTCTGTCAACGGTCTCGAACTCGTCTCCACGCTATCGGTTCGCCGCGGAGTACCCAGTTGGCAAAAATGGCAGGAAAACAGGGTCGACGAACGGGGCGGGCGATCAGTTCGATGAATCGGCGCCGGTATTACGGTTAACATAGTACAACATAGAAGTTCAGCGAATAACCCATGTACGCCGTCACGAATATGACTGGTCCCATCCGAATTTTTCAAGCTAGCATCGTCACGGTAAGACCATCGAACATCAAGCGGTGTCGCACAGGCGTATACGTAAAAAAACTTGGGGAAGCGTGTAATGAGATAGAGCAGTGCGCTGCTCTACAAAATGATGTTGTTCGCGTGTTGCGATAAGGATTTGCTATTAGCTGCTAGCGGACGTTCCACTCCGGGCATTCTGCACATGACGCATCTCCCGAATTCGGATCGTCGTTGGCGCATCAGGAAAACAATTAGGATGACAAGGAAAACGAGGATTAGTAAAACAGTCAGAAGGCACACCGCAACCTGCAAAGTGCGTAAACAATATTTTCGTGCTACACCAATACCAGTATTTTCGTGCTTTGCACCAAAGTGCAACTCCGTCTTGTAAAAGTACAAATAGCCTTTTGATTGAGTGAGTACTCCTGGGTAGCGGATTCGTTGCCAAAGTAAGCGGGACACCAAGTGCATTCACGGTTGGTATAACAGCCCACCGTAGGGGAATGAAATGAAAGTCAAGAAACGCTACCGACCCAATCGAAAGTCTCCTTCTATTCTAGAAGTACTGTAAATTCGTCGTTCTGAAAAAACCAGACGTACCAAACGGTGTTGTTTAAGAACTCCATTCAGTCAGCCACGCTGGGGGAGCGTAATGTGAGCCAGTTGTCCTTTGGAGGTCGAACACAAGACCAACACAGGAGGATGAAAAATTGAACATATAGTATGCGAGCGATAAAACGGCAAGAACGACAATAATAAAGCGCGCTGTTACGCTCACTGTAAGAATCCAAAGCGAATGGACTCGAAATCCCAAGCAGCCGTTCGCAGGAGAACATAACCAGAATCTGAAACATAGCACTCAAATGTAGTCTAGGTTGCTAACTTTCAAACTTTACCAATCGGATAAAATCATCGACGCTTCCGAAAACCGCGGAAGAATGAGCGCCTCCCTCTCCGTAAACCCGACCAATGTCCGATAAATAGGGAACCCAAGCCATCTTAAGATGTAAGAGTAAGCGAAAGCGAAATTTTCGTAAAATGTCTAAACCAGCTTGATATCATGAACCGGCAAACTTCCCTTGAACTAGCAGGGCCATAAATTATGCTCCATTAGAGGAAAGATTGTTCCATGAACATTAATTTTATTAAAAACTTGCTTTCACTTCTTTTGCATCGTTTTATGGCATTCTATAGCCAAATGATATGTATAAACCGGCGAGAAAACCGTTTGTGCGCGCAAAAGCCGGTTGGGGAGATATCAGTGAAATAAAAGTACAAAAGGTTGCGCGCACGGAGATGTACCAAAAGTGTAATTACGAGCCCATCCCCTTCGCAATTAGCATGAAAACGCACATTACCACGAAGGCCATTTTATGCCGAATCAGCTTTTCACCATGTTTTTTAAATCTTAGAATGAATTTCAAAAATTTTAAATGATATTTTAAAATTCAAAAAAATGGGAAAGAAAGTTGATTCGGAGCGCGCGAAAGCGAAAGTTTCGTCCAATTGCCGGGAATCGGTATCATGTACCGGCACATCTCCCTTAAGAAAAAAAAGTTAATTAATATCATTACGCAACGTAATAAATTAGGAAAAGGTGAATATCTCCAGCCGCCATGCTTTAGTCGCGCATGGAGGTGCATCTGTCCCGACCTCCGGCTCTCGTGAAGCATTTAGGTTATGTAGGATGAATGTGTCAACAGTGCAACAATAATGCTATCTGCAGACTTACAACGCTAACCAATTGGCAACTGCTGTACCAATAATGTAATGGCAGGCCGACGTTTTCCACGTAGACACACTGCGGGACTGACACCATGAGATTCAGCCCGTTACACACGGGGCACAGGATCAACAGACGGAAGAACACAGCGCGGCAGGCGAGGTACGTATCAAGAACTTGCCTGTCTGTGTAACGCTCCGTGGGCACCAAATTTTGTGCTGCAACCTTGTAAATGACTTGGATGGATGTTTCCATGGCCACTGATGCTTGTATTCGACGACCAGTTCGGAAGGCTGTCATTGAAGAGAGAAACGGACAAAGGCGAAACTGCGGTAGCATTCTCCATAACAAAGCCGGCAGCGTGTAATTTTTTTGACCACAGTAGTCTGATTCAGTGTTTTCGCGTTCAGTGTGAGCGTTAAAAAGAAATTGTTAAAAACTTAACAGATTAGGCTTGTTTTTCAGTCGTTTGTATGATTTATAGGCTGGTTTACTGTGTGTAATTGCTAGCACTTAACCGGTAACATTGCCCTTTGGTTAAGTAATTCTAATATAATATAATGTTATACAGTCGCGTATTAAATAGTCAGTGGTTTATTTGTGCAATCCCAACCACGCATGGAACATTAGGCAAATCCCTGTGACGGCTAAATCTGTTAACGTTTAAGCAGCGTTACTTTATATGATGCTTCCCGCGCCCGCGCTCGGCAAATGTGTATTGGAAAGGTCAGGCTTGAATTTGTGGACTGTTACGAGATACGGCAGTAGTGTCTACGACAGTAGTCGTGGTGGCGGACAGTGGTGGTTGCTCGGTCACTTACTCACCTACAGATTTTGCTCACGGGAAAATGGTGGTAGCTCACTTACATCCTACAAATTTTGCTCATGATTTTTGGTAGTTCGGTTACTCACTCCCCTACAGATTATGCTCATGGGTCTTCGTAACTCGGTCGGGACAGCGGTGGTAGCTATTTGACTCACATTGCCCTTTGGTTAAGTAATTCTAATATAATATAATGTTATACAGTCGCGTATTAAATAGTCAGTGGTTTATTTGTGCAATCCCAACCACGCATGGAACATTAGGCAAATCCCTGTGATTTGGTTGCTAAATCTGTTAACGTTTAAGCAGCGTTACTTTATACAAGGTAAGCCTCGCGCCCCGCGCTCGGCAAATGTGTATTGGAAAGGTCAGGCTTGAATTTGTGGACTGTTACGAGATACGGCAGTAGTGTCTACGACAGTAGTCGTGGTGGCGGACAGTGGTGGTTGCTCGGTCACTTACTCACCTACAGATTTTGCTCACGGGAAAATGGTGGTAGCTCACTTACATCCTACAAATTTTGCTCATGATTTTTGGTAGTTCGGTTACTCACTCCCCTACAGATTATGCTCATGGGTCTTCGTAACTCGGTCGGGACAGCGGTGGTAGCTATTTGACTCACTCTAGAGATTTTGCTTATGAGTCATGGTACCTCGGTCACTCACCTACAGATTCTGCTCACGGGACAGTGGTGGTAGCTCGGTTACTTACTCGCCTACAGATTTTTGCTCACGGAACAGTGGTGGTTGCTCGTTTACTCACTCATCTAGAGATTTTGCGCTCGAGACAGTCACTCACTCATTATTATGCCATCGCAAAAATCAGTCAGCGTACACTCTACACTCGAAGTACAGTAAAAACTGCAATAATGCATATTGTCCCAGATCCATGGTTACAGTTGTCCTTACTTTAAATGTCATACTTACTTAAATTACAGAGTTCTAGGCAATGTTGTTGTCAGGCTTCTCAAGTACTGTAAGCACTTAAGTAAAACAATACTTTGTCTGGATCGTTCCCAAATCTCAGGAAGACTATTTAGGGTCAAAATCTCACCCGTCCCCCACGGTGGTTGACATTCTAAGTATGTTAAATGTAAGGTACCGTAAATTTTTTCCTCCCCTCACTTCTTGATATGGTCCTTACGAAATTTCTGGATGACCTCGTATTCTAATCCATGGGGATTCATGCTTTCCTATACTTAAAACGACTAAGAGAGTTTTCAAACCTGGCAGTTCTAGCGACAAATAAAATTCAGCGTAAATACCTATGGAAAATAAGATTCATTTCAAGGCTAAGCTGGACTTAATCTGACCACGCGTTGAGTTTTCCATAATAACCCACGGAATTACGCTTTTTGACGGTAAGATTGTATGAATGTATAGATAATACTGACGAAGGCAGTCCTGGTGGAAATATGAATATTCCGGTATTATCGGGTGTGCAATGTTCGAGCTCGAAAACCCTACCAGTGAGGGACATCAAAGCATTGAAAACGTTGAGGTCAAAAGGTCACCCAGAACATGGAAGACAAATGCAGCTGCGGTGTCCCTGGTTAGCAGTTGAGCCAATATTTTTGCCCAGAACTTTGCATGTATTTGAAAACCGAAGCACTACGTTGTTAATTCGTGTAGGCGAAGCAATTGCCATGCAAACTGTGCGTTGCTTTTCGTTCTGTACAATATGTGTGCACTCATAAGCAAGCCGTCATTTATCAGGAAATCGCGCAAAGATTTGTCATTTTTGTGGAGACTTGGAAGCATACCAACTACCAAGTCATTTAGACGTAGAAAAACTCGCACAATTCACAAGCCTCGTTCTCCAGGTCTAAATACGAAAACGTTACACGCAGTTCTTCTAAAAGTTACTGTAACCTGCAATAATTTTAGCATGCCGCTGAAACAGGAAGAAGGCCAGACGCCGCACTCAAGCTGCCGGCACTTTACGGGGCTCTTGGCGCGTTCGACGCCGCATTTTGGCGCACCCCGAAAGGAAAGGCTCGTTACGCCGATGCATTGATGAGTGACGCGAGTCCGTCACTCGACTACTGCAAGCCAATCGTTCGAATTCTAAATACTGTAGGTACTGTAATGTGTTCGTAACTGTAGGTACTGTAATTATTTGTTCTTCTCTTTCATAACAGCATTATATTTTATCGTATTTGCCAACTTCTCCGAGACATCCGAGACATAGTGAACAGCAAAATCAACTGAGTACTGGTCAAGAATTTGCAACGGGCCACTTCATCCTGCGTTGTGAAATGGCTGGCGAACCGTCTCCGATCACTCCATTTTGTCTCCATTCCACCGCGTGGCTCTTTGAGATTCCCATCGAACAATTCGAGCAAACGTACCGGGCCTCCACAACGACGTATACTGTTACGCTGCAACTTGACGCGCAGCATGTCCAGAAGTATTTTGGAATCCCGGATTCGCTGTGGAAGATAACATTGATGATCAATTCGAACTCCGGTCTAGCAACATATCAGATCGGCCCGACTTGCGCGAAGCAGCTGCTTACCAGCAAGGAAACTCTGCGTGTGGAATGCGCTGTCAGCGGATCACGGTTCGTACTGTACCTGTGAAATATTACGATCCATAGTACAGTACATAAATACTGCAGAAACTAACATGCAAGAATCTACGCCAGCTTTCTAAGTTGCAAAACAGTGTTGTCACTTGTCATGATGGTCATGGCGCTTAATTCAGTAATTTGTTGGCAACCATTCTGGGGCTTCAGCAAGTCGTTTATTTTCTCCATTTATTACTGGTCATTGCACCCTTACCGTCTAATAACCTTGTTTCATACGCTTTACTCATGTATTCTTTAATGATTATGTATAAACAGTTCACACTTTGGAGATCCGTTCATCGTATCTATCGGTCCAGAAGGTTGGGCACATCAGTCGAATTCCGCGACCCCCACCTTCGCAATTCCAACAGCGTCGGAGCCAAGAACCGAGCAGAACATGGTGATTATTTCTTATAGAATCCGCCAACGAAGCATGGTTTACGTTCGGTTGACGTTCCACGGTGTCGAATCTGACGGAAGCTCGCTGGGTTCCTGTCGGAATAATTATGTGCAAAAGTTCAGCAGTTTGCTGGAAAACGGACAAATTACTGACTGTACACTGGTCTCGCGTGATGAAAAATCGTTCGCCGTGCATCGTGCTGTTCTGGCTGCGCAGTCGCCGGTGTTTGCTGCAATGTTCGAGCATGACATGAAAGAGAAGTCGTCGGGAGAGTGCGTTATTCAGGATGTTGATGGAATCGTTTTAGAGGCCCTCATCAAGTTTGCCTACACGTGCGCGCCACTGGAGCTGCCGGCGATCCACTTGCCAGATTTGCACGACGCTGCGGATAAGTATGATATGGATGATTTGCGACGCCATTGTGAAATCGTAATGATTGGCGCTATTGCTGTTGATAACGGGCTGCGTTACCTGAACTTTGCCACCGAACGCGGTTTACCGAAACTGAAAAAACAAGCCATCAAGTTCCTGTATCAGCATAGTGACGAACTTTGAACGCTCAACAGTTAGGTTGGTTTGGTTATGAGTTCAGACTGGATGGAATTAATTTGCGATGTTGATACATTTGGAGATTCGTGCGTGCTGTGGGTTGTTGACTTTAATTCGCTTTTATTAAGTCTGGAGTAGAATCTAGACTGTCTCGTTGTTATAATGCACTCTGATAACTACTGTAGAACTTTGGTGGTTAGCAGCATCGTTTTTTCTTTTTAATAACTACTGAGTAGCTTGTGTTGAAATGCTATAACGTTTCGCATTGCTTGTGTAGTAAATGTTGATACGAGTTTAATACGCAAGAACTGTTGATTACTAACAATAAGCCATTCTGATGGCGCCATGCGGACGTACAGAAATTTCGTGTCGAACGCATTTCATGGATTTCAAAGTTATTTCATGGATTTCAGTAACGGTCAAACTTTTGCGGAGCGCAGCTGGTTATTGCGATAAATTGTAGTGTAGTGAGAATTTATTAGCACAAGCCAGTCAAGACAGAGTTATTAGTGTAGTTAAAGAAACCGCATTCCAGGTTAGGAATTACTGCGCATCTTTGGGGGCAAACAGCCACTCACGCACCCCAGTGTTAGAAGGCCAGTTTTCCGCAGCAAACATCTTATCAGACTCATGAGCAAATGAACCAACACGAGCGAACAAACTGTTTTTGCCACCTTTTTTAGCAGTGTAAATAGACACAAATCGAACTGAGATCCCATTAGATTCAATGGCATTCTTGAGATCCTTGCTGTAGTCATCAAGTGCCTGGTGTCGGGTCGGATCCAAAGGGGGGATGCCATGTAGACAGAAGTCCTTTTTCTCTTTCTCCTTGTCAGCCTTGCTGGTGTAGTGGCAATCAATATAAGCGCTCATTACGCTCTACCTGTACCTTTATGCTCAATTTGTCGTCAGGATTCTACACTCTATTTATCCAAGCACTAACCATGGTAAGTAGTATAGTAATACAAAACAAGCATGAATATGAAATTACCGATGTTGTAGTGAGATGAGCAAATAGCTGATGATCTGCGGCTGAATTCAGTCGATGGACTGAATCCGACTGACTAACTGTTTTCCGTATACGGCACTTAATTTTCAGTCTGTAAACTACGTAGTTTCGCATTGCGCAGAGGCCGCTTACATGTGCAGACGTTAAATACTTTATACCTACATGTGCAGCACTGCAGATGTACATGTGAAGACGTTAAGGTCGTGCGTGCGAGCACATGCAAGGATGCAATATTAAACGATGATTGTCAAGAGCAGCTGTGCCGCTTGGTTTAGTGTTTTCGTTTAGTACCGTAAACTCAGTAATGTGCAGCCTACTCGGTACAGTACGTTGTTTTGCCCCAGGTGTACTGTAATGCCAAACTGCCGGTCGATGTGCGTGGAGGATCGCGGCTTAGTACTGGCGTCCGCGAAAGTTGTTACGTGTTACAATATTTCCGCAGTGCGAGCGATGCATTCACCGTCTCGGATATTACACCATTACACCGAGATAGTAATTACAAAGTGTTCTAATCTTACAATATAAAACTATGCTGTAATTTCAGCGTAATATTTAAATCTCAAAAGTCGTTGTCTGTCTGCATGATTTCGGAAATGGCTGCCACAGCATTACAGATAGCACCCACTTTTCTCCGTCCTTCCGTCTGCCTCTTTGAGATCCCGATGGAGCGCTTCGAGAAAAGATTTCAGCAGCTGTCTGCGAGAATGGAGTATACGGCAACCGTTAAACTGGATACGGATCATGTTCAAAAGTAGTCCGGAATGTCATCGACAATGTGGAATGTGACAATACACACTAGCAACAAGCCAGACGCCGCCACTTACACGATTTACCCAGCCTGGAAGAGAAAGCAAGGGGTTACTAGCAATGTTCCTCTTTCTGTTGAATGCGCCATCAGTACCACAGGGTGCGTCATACATAAAATACTCTAATTAATTGAATTCGTCGTCTAGTTATCGATTTTAGTTGCTTGCATGAGCGCTGATTTAATTACTAAATAGCGGTCGGTTGATTTTACGAATCCACATATTATTATAATACGCTGTACGGGATGACCGTCAAAAAGGTGGCAAACTGTACGTTGCGGAAGGACTGAATTACTTTTTGGTTTTTTAATGACAATAATGCCACCCATAATGAAACTTGCTGCAGGAAATTAAGGTTTCATTTGGCAGCGTGCTGGCTCATTATCATAGCAAAAATGTTATAATACTATAACAGATTGTAACTGCTTGGTTTTGCTTCCTTAGAGCTTAGAGAGCAATACGGACACCCGTACGACATAACTATTGATCAGAAAGATTGGGCTTATGAGCCTAAAGTTCCGCCCCGAGTGCTACAGATTCCACAGGATCAACTTCAAGGCCATATCCCCGACTGTTATGTCATACGTCCTGGAACCATCGTGTTTGTGCGACTGGTAATCTACGAAAAAGATTTCAACGGGGGCAGGGTGCTCTCGACCCCTTCGGATCACCAAGGTCTGGCAGAAAAATTCGGCCGTTTGCTGGAAAGCGGGCGTATGGCCGACTGCCAGTTGGTGTCGCATGATGGAAAAGAATTCCCTGTGCATCGTGCCATTCTCGTTGCGCATTCGGCAAAGTTTGCGGATATGTTTGAGAAGGAACGACAGAGCAGTCGCTGGAAAGGTATGCCATGGAAAATATTAGTGGAGTGGTCTTGGAGGCACTCATCCGGTTCGCTTTCACCGGCGCTCCGCTGAACTTGCCGGCTGAGCATCTGCAGGATTTGTATGATGCCGCGGACAAGTATGGTATGGACGATCTGCGGGGCCACTGCGAGAAAGCAATGATCGGCGCGATTAGCGGGGGTAATGCATTCAACTACTTGGTTTTCGCGAAGAAACGCGATTTGCAAGATCTGAAGGTGGCTGTCGCACAATTCGATGGTCAACATGGCCGCGAAATCTGAATGGAACGCCTGCAAGAAAAAAACGTTCGAGTGCAGTAAAAGTGGACTTCGTATTCAAGTAATTTAATGACAAAGTTTCTATAATATTTCTTCACTTTTACTCTGTAGTTGTTCATCAGAAATTGTTACACAAAATGAAAAGCTACGAAGCGCAACTGAATGAAAACAATTTTCAGGATTTTAAAAGCCGGCTAGCTCGACTTCCTGTAGTTTTAACGGGAAACTTTTATAACATGTAGCCGTTAAAAATATGTGCCAGCGAGATGAGATCGACTATTAAATATTTACAGTCAATCATTGACTGTAAATACTTAATAGTCGATCGGCTACTGCCAGGACGGTTTAAATGTAAACAGCTCATATGGGGTCGGGTGCTCATCGCAGTCCAGTCGTGCAGGCTAAGTTCATCAAGCGTCCTCGTAACGCAAGCTGCCGTAGCTTTAATACATACAAATACAATGTGTATTGCGTACAATACATAAAGGAGTAACAGGAAAATTAACAGGTTAAATACAATGTGTATTGCGTACAATACATAAAGGAGTAACAGGAGTAACAGAAATTTTCCAGGGAACAAAAATCATGGGTAACTTTCCACAGAAAGGTGAATGACCTTTTGCAAAAAGGGATGACTTCTCCATCTTTTGCTGCAGTAGACAGTAGTACGCACTGATTTGCTTCTATATTGCTACTCCGAATCGGATTTATGTCCTTCGTAAACATACTTTGTCTAATCAGCGTTCCCAATAACCTTTGTCATTTTTATTGTTTAGTAGTTTAATAATTATACGCACACGTGCCTAGCACAACCGGGCTGACGTACTTAGGGATGGTCTCATATCTGTAGCGTATCCCGCTACGGTACAGCACCGTAGCTAATTTCGTTACAGTACAGAAATGGGACAGTTTCTGGTGCGCGTCACCAAGATACAGTACAGGCTACGCACATCGAAACTGGACTCGTTATCGGTTTCCTGTATCGAATCTCTAGCTTTGGGCCCGTATCGCTGTATTTGTGTCCCATCGCTTCGATCACATATCGCACTGTTTACCAGTTTTTGTGTATGCTCTCGGTAAGAAATTCGAGGTTTATTGGAGGAAGTCTTTGTGTTGATTGTTTTTTATGCCATCATTATAGTTAGTTCCTAGTCTGTATTGTAAAGTGTTGTTTCCTGGATTGAAAGTTTTTGTTTGGCATTATCGTCCGGAGTGAGTCATGAGCCAGACCAGTCCCAAACCATCCCTGCAATTTGTTCTGGCCAGCATTCAGAATCCTCATTTTTCGAGTGCTGCTTCTTTCTTCTGTTCAGCATTAATTATGTGTAATGGACGGAAACAAATTTTTATATTCGTTAGCAGTCATAGCAGCGTAGAGTATATGACGGAGTTATATGCACTACGAGTCTACGATAGCACCTAAGCGAGCTCGGTATCGTATCAGTAACAATTATTGTTTTCACTTCCATTCCGCTTCTCTGTACCTGATTCTTAATAATTTTGTTATCTAAAACTTTTGTGCATTCAGTATGATTTTAAAATTAACAAGAAATAAAACAACGTTCATTTCATAAAACCTAAATAACTCACGAAAAGAAATCGCCACACAATGACAAAACTGAAAAATGCTCACATATGAACAAAAAGATACCAGGGAAAGCCACCTCTGGTAGAACTGGCTCAATCGGTACCAAACTTTTATCGCGCGACAATCGCGGTCATGATCGCGACAGCGCGATGGCCGCGACGCCAGTATATAACCGCGATGCACCGCGACGCGCCTTATACGGTAGGTGGCCATACCTGCCGCGACGCCGCGATGGCCCCGACGCCTGTATATAACCGCGATGCACCGCGACACGTGTTATACCGTAGGCAGGCATACCTGCCGCGACGCCGCGATGGCTGCGACGCCAGTACATAACCGCGATGCAACGCGACATGGCTTATACGGTAGGCGGCCATACCTGCCGCGACACCGAGATGGCCGCGACGCCTGTATATAACTGCGATGCACCGCGACATGGCTTATACCGTAGGCAAGCAAACCTGCCGCGACGCCTGTATATAACCGCGATGCACCGCGACACGGCTTATACGGTAG